ACAGATTTACCACTCACTATTTTGAAGAGGTTGCCAACTCCTGTTCCCTGCCAAGCCATAAGCTCTCGCTTGAGATCAGAGACTCAACCTCTGTGTTTTGCCAGGCACTGGGAATTCTGTGCAGCCTGAATGCAGAGAATTTCTAAACATCCATGGGCTATGAGCTGTTAATCAAACACCCACTTGAAGTGCTTTGGAAGCTTCTCTGATTTTTGGTTTATCAATGTGATCATGGTGATTTAAGACTTATTTCTCATGCAATCATGAATTCACTCAAGACATATTAAAGAAGAATTTTTCTTAGTTGCCTACTTCAGAATATTGGTCTCCAGAGACAAGGTGTTTTTCATAGCTCCTTAGAGGCCCATAAAGAGAGATGGAAGAATGTAGCTGGGCAACTCACATGGAAATCAAACCTACTGGAATTCCATCTGCATATCTGCTATCACTTAGCTTGGTCACTGGCTCTCCCAAGGAACTCACCGCATACCTCTCCCATACTTTGTTTCCATCTCAAAGGAGGAGGAACAATGGGAATTTTTTATTGCATTATTCTTCAAGAAAGACATTTTTGCCCAAGCAAGTAATGGACATTTCCTTCCTTCCATGGACCATTCCGCACTCAGAAGTGTTCAAGTGCATTTCCTGTAGGCACACGGCAGCCTATCCTGGGGATACTCATGGAGAGACCAAATGGCCACCATGTCTGGGAACCTGAACTCCCATCCCTGACCTACCACTTTTCCCTAGTGGTGACTTCGGACAAGCTGTTTGAACTGTCTGAGTGTCTTTCTCTGATCTGCACTAGGGTGATTAAGCTACTTGCCTGGATCTGTGTAAACAGTTCAGTGCTTTATAAAAGTAAATGATTTGTATTCAAGCCTGTCCTGCAGCTCTGGGTGAACTGTTCTTCCCTGGAGCTGTCAGTCACCAACCCAAAACTGGAAGTCTTCAGTTGTGCAAATGAGCACTTCTCTCCTGGAAGAGAGTCTAGGGTCTCCATGTTCTTCTCTAGATTTGACGTGATTGGGCTTCTACTTAGGCTGGTTATAGGAGAAAAGATGACCCCTCAGCTGATGTCATGCACTATGGAAGTGCCATGACTCTTTTGTGTCACTGGGACACCACTTGGTCTTCTGCAGCCTGAGTTTGCCAAAGTATGATCTACTAGGTGGCCTGGGTTACTGCCCCTCCCTGCTGACTCAAGCTACAGAGTAACTCACTCAACTGTGATTTCAAATCATTTGGAGGAAACCCAAATTCAATGGGCACCTTGGGTTGGGACAAGTGAGATACAGAGATGGAAACAGGAATTAAGAATGAGGCATTCACTAGCATTTCAATTATTTAATTATTGTTGAATTTCAATTATTTAATATCTTAGAGAAATTTTAGCTTAAATCAGAAGATGTGACAGTAATAATAGCAGCTAGTGTAATGTTATCATTTTCTTAAAATTTTTTTAAAGAGGGTGTAGGGAGGATAGAAACATTTTCTTCCAAAGTTAGAATCCAAATATGGTCGTTGATGCTGAAGCCAATAAAACCCACTGGAAATTGGAATCTGGAAATTGGAGTACTGAATAGTCCTTCTGCTCCATCCCCAGCTGTGGAGAGGATCACCTAAGGTAACTTGGCCAACTACCAGATGATTAATGAACTGCAAAGCTAAATGGTAAATTAGGCATCATCCTCATTATTGAATGAGCTAAATGGCAAATTAGGCATCACTATAGCGTCACTTCCTTCCTCTCTGGGCTGCAGCTGAATTTTGTGACTTTGAGAGTTGAAGTTGCTGTCCATGAAATGGAGGTAAACACCTCAAAGTGTAGTGGAGAGAACGCATTTTCTCCAAGAGCAAAGCGTTTATCACCAACCCTTGCCAAATGTCCTCAGGGAACAGAGAGCTAATGGTACAGGTGTGGTGGCCACAGCTATTCCTGTTCCTTTATTCCATGTTTTTAGTATCTAAAGAGAAAGTTAAAACAACAGAACATACTGACAACTGAAATGGAATGAAACTACCAATTATAATTGCTCTGACAGACTCTATCACAAAGGACCAGCATTAAGATGAGAATTAGGTGGAGAAACCAAAGGCTGCCATCATTTTGAAGCAGAGCATGGGTGGTGGGGAGTTGACAGAAGAGAACCTTCATATAACACCATTTTGCTTGTCCAGCTTTACAGATAAGATGGGCTCAAGGTTCTGGAAAAAACCCAGCTCTTAGTTTTTACATTGGCCCCAACTCCATCTTTAAAGGGCCTGATTTTGACCTCTTCTGGCTTCTCCCTCCACCTGTGGCAAATATACTTGGGTCCCCAATGTACAGACAACCATAAGACTCCAAAGAAAGGACACAGAGAATCATGATTGCCCAGAAGGTGCCTTGTTTTGGGCTTTTTGATTTTTTTTTTTTTTTTAGATCCTGAACACATCAGCAAGCGTTTAAGCTTATATTTTCAACTCAGTAAATTAGTTAATTAAAATAAATAACCCTTCTATTCAGTAGGAAAAGAAATAAAGAAAAGTCAAGAATGGAGAAAATTGCTCAATAAAATATGGTGAGTGAACATAAGGTTTTTCTGGAACAATACTTCATGAGTTCAAATCCCAGCTCTAACACTTGGATCTCCCTGACCTTGGGCAAGTCCCATAACTTCTCTGTGTCACAGCCTTACAACTTCTCTGTGCCTCAGTTTATCCATCTATAAAATGTGGATAATAATTTTCAAAATGTACTTTTCAGAAAACATAAAACCACTTATATTTTCAACTCATCAGTTAATGAAAGAGCTAGAAAGAAGTTATGATCCATTCAAAGATCATTTAAAGAGTTTGGATATTTATAGATAATTTAACAAAGAAATATTTGGATAAGATTACTAGGGTAGATATAATCTGGGTAACACCCAACATACCATAAATCACTGGAGTAATATGTTTCATTGATGAGAAATTGTTTGTATATGTGCTGAACCAAAGCCTTCAAGTTAATGAGTGACTTCTCTAAGCCTAAGAACTTTAATCAAGATTAAGTGATAAGGTAAACCAAGGACATTCCTCAAGAAAATCACTGGTGGCCTTTGCTTCCATATGATATTGAAAGGACATGTGACCCATGTGTTTTGCCTTCATTCCAAGTTTTGGATAATTTTTCTGACAGGATTTCCCTTATTGGGTTATTGTAAGGATTAAATATAGCCAAAGTCCTTAAAACAATGTCTAGCATTTACTTGGTAAATGCTATTAAAGTTATATTGACTAGGAGTTTTCCCAGTTAAGTCAGGCTCACTTAATAATGCCTACGAAGGGAGTTAAAGCAAAGTTCAGAAACATTATTATTAGCATTGCCTTTACTTCTCCAATCAGGTTAAATCATAAGGGAAATGAATAACATCATCAGCATTGTCAATTGTAACTACCAACATTAAAATTAGCACTTGCCGTTTCGTGTCCCATCAAGCTTGGAGCAAAATGGAGTCTTAGCATATGTTGTAGCCGGGAGGGTGGGGCACGGGAGATGAACAGAATCAAGAGGCCAAGTCCTTCATCAGCCACATCCAGCGGGCCATCTAATCCCTGCAGAAGTCTCCTGAGCCACCTCCTGCCCCTGCCATCCTCACTGACACCTCTTGCCTGGGTGAGGAGGCAGATTCCTATCACCCCCCCTTCATCCTCCACTCCACTGGTACCTACTCCCCGTAACCTGGATGCCATCACATCACTCCCCTGTGCCTGCACCTTCAGCACAGGCCATTTCCATCCCCATCTTCCAGACGCACTCTATGGCCTCGCTGGACCACCCAGCTCAGGGGCTACTCCTCCTTAAAAACCCATACTTACCCTGCACAGACCTGCTCTCATGTCACCTGTGCTGTGAAGCCTTCCCCAAGCCCCAAGCCAGTGACCCCAATTCCCCTTGTCTCCACCCTCACAGCTCTGTTCACTCGACCAGCAGGAATTCCCCCGCCCTTGGGATGTGCAGTTAGAGCAACTGATGGCATCTCTGCCTCTCAGTGGTGACTCCTGAGAGCAGGAGCTGAGTTGCATTTAACGTCACCTTTCCTGGCCTCTACCCTGTGCCAGGCACTGTCACCAGCAGTGAGTGCCTCTTACTGAGCTCTCTACCCTTACTCCAACACTTCCTGGGACGGAGCCTGGTTAGATGCTTGGCAAACCTATTCACCCATCTCTCCGGGCTGACAGTCTCCTCTTGGAATGGGGTAGAAATGTGTACACCAATTCTAGGCTGGCCCGTGCCGTCTCCCCACACATGTCCCCAGACCCTCGTTCTGTGAGTGTGTATAAGAACATTGACAAACGATGTCAACACCACGAAAGAGTGAGGTCAAGAAAGGCAAATTCTTGCATTTAATAGAAAGAAGCTCATTGTCAAGGACACTGTTTAAAAATTTAGGCTCCATCGACCGGCTGTCTACCTCCTCAACTCCAATGCCTCACACAGAGCACAGGACAACCACGCTGTCTCCTGTGTCCTGGAGTGGAAAGCAAAGTGAAGCTATATTACTTTTCAAGGAGGCAAGAAGTGAATATATTATTAGGGAATAACTATTTCCTGAAAGGCAAATAGCATGAAGAGCCCTCGCCCAGGATGTCCAGATGTGGAAACAATACACAGGGAAGTCCATCTCTTATCACACGGGGATGATGTGAGGTGTTGGGTTAAGACTTCATAACAGTAGTAGCAGTAAGTGAGGTGAGGAAGGGTGATTTGCTCCAACTTGCTCATCAGCGCCCTCGAGGAGGGCAGAAACCCAGGGAAGAACACGAGGAAGCAAAAGTCCCACGTCCTCACGGCACCCTGACACCCTTGGGACTGTGGAGGCAGCCACCCCACCAACTGCCCTTCATTTCCAACCATAAACCAAGAGAGGGGGAGCTCGGGTTACATCAAAGGAGAGAGTAGCTACCGAGTAGTCTGCAGCTGAGTGAAGTTTATTTTCCATTTGTATGTCTGTAAATAATGGTTTCAATTTTGGAAAACATACATCTGGAGTGCTGTGGTGTTGCCAAACAGACAGAGCCCATCACAACACGACAACAACATCCAGAAGAAGGTTGTCTATTTTCTGAGTGACACGCTGCCTAGAGGGTGCCGGGTGTCTCAAGCTGAGCATGGGCGGCGTGTTCACGGTGCTAATTTCATTCATTCTCCGGGTGGAACCAGGGAAGGACACGAGCGTCGCTGGGGTGTGGGCTCAAGTTCCAGAGTTGGTATCTGCGTCCTGCTGCTGCCCTTGCTTTCCAAGCAGCCCACATAATCTCTTGGTAACTGTGTCATTCTCCAGAAAATGAGACTCAGTGTGACACATGCATCCAGTATGAATGCACCTTTTTTCTTCAAAAAAAAATTGAACTTGACATATTAGATAAATAAGCCCTGCAAAAGCTTCATCACAGGATTCTCGAAAGTAGAAAAGTCATGGTATATATAAAATGGATGTTGATTTATTTAAAACTATATACGAATAAAATGCCCATTTTCAGGAACACAATTGTTTCCTACAAAAAAGTACTCTTTTGAGTTATATGCCCTGTTAGTGCTTACTCAATCAGTGTTTGTTGACTTGATTGCAAGACATTTCTAAAATAATGGCACAACTAAGCAAAACACATCATTATTATGGAATCATGACTCATTAGCCCTAAAAAGGATGCTGAAAACCCTTCTGTTCTGTCTTTATCACAGCTGAGGAAGCTAAAGGCCAGTGAGGTAATATTTCTAATATTTCAAAACATGCTGCCTGTATAGAATTTTTCATAATGTTAGTCTAAGCGCTGCCTAGGTAAATGGAAACATCTCAGAACTAAACAGCAAGTATTTCCACAAGTCTTCCTTTCCCAGAGTTACCCATTCATGTGACAATTTGTGTGCTCTTTATAATTAATATCGCTTTCTTTTGTTTTTGTTTTTTTTAAAAAAAGACAAAATATGAAGGAAGAAGGAGTAGGAGTCATGTGGGAAAGAAGTTTGTTTTTCTTCTTTTAGATCCTTTCAGATTCTTTTCATGACATGATGTGGACTGTGAAGTTCCCTCTCAGGCCCACGAGGATCTCCTGTGAACCAAAATAACGCCCCTGGTTTAAGGAGACCCCTCAAACTCCCCGCTGTGTCTTACAATTTTTGAGGCATTCACCTTGTAGTCCAACTGTCATTCTTGCTCAGAGACAGCTCTGAGAAGTCCTGGGTCTCCCACACACTGGTGGAGAGGAAGCATGTCTGGGGAAAACTTGGAACTGCCAATCTGGAGTGGTTAGGCTGAGGGTGGAAAGACAGTGATGTGTTGGCCAAGGAGGAAGAGGACTCTGCCCCCAGCTGCCCACCCCAGTGCTGTATGAACCATTGGTGACCCCATTGTGCAGATGGGACAGTAGAAGCCAGAGAGGCTTCTGTAAAGATTAGTCATGATGCTCTCTCTAGGTTCTGAGGCATTCCAGAAGAAACAACCAGGACTGAGGCTTTGTGCTCATTAGAAAAAAAGTGTTCCGTCCTTAAATTTAAAAAAAAAAATGTTTAATTCAATGTACTATTGATCAACCTGAATAAATGTACTTGGGCTGTGCCCAAGGAAAGCAGGAAAGGTGACTGATTTAGGTGACTCCAGACAGTGGCTTGTGAGTAGAAGACACAGTGGGAGAGGGGAGGGGAGGGTGGACACAATAGAAGAGTCCAGGCTGGGCACGGTGGCTCACGCCTGTAATCCTAGCATTCTGGGAGGCCGAGGAGGGAGGATCGCTCAAGGTCCAGAAGTTCAAAACCAGCCTGAGCAAGAGCAAGACCCTGTCTCTACTATAAATAGAAACAAATTAATTGGCCAACTAAAAATATATACAAAAAAAAAATTAGCCGGGCATGGTGGTGCATGCCTGTAGTCCCAGCTACTCAGGAGGCTGAGGCAGAAGATTACTTGAGCCCAGGAGTTTGAGGTTGCTGTGAGCTAGGCTGACGCCGTGGCACTCACTCTAGCCTAGGCAACAGAATGAGACTCTGTCTCAAAAAAAAAAGAGTCCAGAGAACTTTGGCTCTGGGTTTTCAGTGTCCAAATTCACCATCCATGTACCCAACCTGTGGTCCCAAGAATGACACTTATTAAATTAACACATGAGTACCACTGGGTTTCAGGGGAAATTACTGCTGTGTAGATGTGCCCCCCACCAGGGCTTGGCTGAGCTCGGCTCTGGGCAGTGGGCAGGGCCAGGCAGGGCCATCCACACCCAGGAGCTCCTACACTCTCTCCCAGTCACACACCCAGCGCCTGCCCGCCCGGTGCTCCCTGCCCCACCCCCACACCCCACAGGAGGTGGCCATGTGGGGTTCAGGGAATGTGGGTGGTGAGATTTGGACCTCCATGAGCTGCAGGAGGCTGAGGGAAACCACCTCACGGGCCACCTGGGGAGCAGTCAGGACAGGGTAGAGTAGGACACACAGGTATGTGCCAATGACTGCGTGTACTTGCTCTCGGCCACTCTAGGAACACCCAGAATGTCCCCTCACCTGGGAACATCACAAGGAGCATCACTCTGGAAACATCTGAATCTTTCCTCCTTACAGGGCTAACTGGCAGAGCTGGAGCCAAGTTTTGTGGAGCCTAAACATGACACAAGTAGAGGACTCTCTTTAAGAAAAATCCTACAAAATTATGAATTCAAATTGGTATGAACATAAATACTTATTTAAAATGAGAAAAGAACCACAACAAATGATAGTTTTAAAGATTTGACAGATACCAAAAACATCACAAAATCCAGAAATGTATTTTTATTCATTAACAGCCTGATGCCCTTATATTTTCCAAATTTTCTTGGCTATGCTTTGATCATCTTTGCCTATGACAATGATATTGTGCAGCATTTTCTTACACAAAGAAAGATAATTCAGTTTTGATCTTCTCTTTTAAGCTGAAAACTGATCACTTCCCAACTTCTTATTGGCAATGACTGGTTTTATTAGGACTATTGTCAAATTTGGGGAAACCTCTATCAAGTTTCTTTCACATATGAGCTGCAGGATTTAAGGGTATTTTAAGTTTTCTTATATAGTGACTCATCCTAAATATTCCTTAAATTGATAACATCCATCAACCAGTGTATCACATATCCTATTGTACTGGTGAACCTGAGTTTTTTGTTTTCTTCATTGATGTCAGCATTTTGTGCAAAATTAGTAGGAATATCTTTTCAATGTGCTCATGTGATTTACTCTTCCTTTTAATCGAATTATCAAATAATCCAAGAATGTACCCATTGCTTCTGCTCAAAATTCCATCCTAGAAGATATTTTTACATAGGAAATGTATTCGCTCAATAATGACACAGAGAAGGGCCTGCAAGCCACATAAACATACCTCACTACACCCAAACAAGATGTACCCCCAGGACACTTCCCTTTAGCTACTGTCCCAAATGCCCATGGCCACTCCAGTGCCACTCTGTGCAGGGAGGAGTGACATGGGGGACACGAATTGTAAGGGGACACTCTGAACTGAACTGATTGTCTTCTCTCCCTTGGCCTGTTTGTTCCATTCACTGTCCCACCCTGCTTCTCTGCCCACTTCCAGGAAGAGAATTTAGTCAATTAAATTTAACTAATGTGTTAATGGTGCCTGCACACTGTTTTTACGTCATTCCATTGTTTGTAAGGTGTTCAATAACTGAATATGTGTATTAGGTCTCAGCTCAAACATCACCTCCTTAGAAGGCCTTCCTTAACCAGCCAGTGTAAGCCAGCCACTTCCTCCTTGCTCACTCTCTTCACATGAATTAGTTTGTTAACTACTTGAAAGTACTTGAAATCGTCTAGCTGATTTATTGGTCTGTTTGGTCACTGTTTATACTCTGCGACTCACCTTTCACATTCACCGCTGTATCCCAGCTCCTGGGGGATGCCCAGGTCAGTAGGTATTTGTTGAATGAATGTGTCACCCCACCCAAAGGCCCGAATCAGAAGGGTTTTAAGTTTTTTAGAAAGTCAAGTAGAAAACACTTTGTTTAACTTGGAGTGTTTGATCATAATGACAATGGAATTACAATCATTGTGACATTTGAGTCTTTTATGAGCCCTAGGAGGTCATGGGAGCTGGATTATGTCCTCTATTTTACAAATGAGAAGGCTGAAGAATTCACTTGCCCAAAGCTACACAGTTGATTTGGAGCCAAATGGGACATAGAACCCAGGGCTCCTGACTCCAATTCTTGTGTTCCATTTACTATTAATACTTCAAGCTGCCAGATTGCCATTGGCATCTGGTGAAAATTTGCTTTTCCTATGAGAATCATGGCTGACTTGCTACGTGTACTTGTGCTATGAATTGCAAGACATCAGTGGTAGTAGTAAATTTGTGCTCAAAACAGAAGCAGGTGTTCTTTACATGTTCTCATTCAACTGCAGAACAACCCCTCATGTGGGCATTATTTAGTATGTAGTTCTTTTTAACTGAGGCTCAGATGATTAACTTGCTGAAGGTCCTAATCAATGCCAAATTCAAGATTCAAACTCAGATTTACCCCAGATGACTCTCAGGCGCAAACTTCTTTGGGATTAAAGGCCCACATTTGGAAGCTAACGGGCTGGGTTGGAAATTAAGTATGTAGTTATCATACATGATCAATTATATGATTATTTATAAATTATAATATGTATGGAATTGTATATCATTATAACAAAATTATTTGTTGAATATTAGGCTGACATGTGATCATCATCTAATTAAGAATTAAATATTCCACTACCCCCGGCTTCAAAAACTACTCAAAATGGCCCCAAGGTGTGAAATCCTTGGTTTGTTTTGAGAATTACCACAACTAACCAAAAGCTGGAAGTATACTAGCTCATATACCCTGTAGGAAATCTATAAGTGCCTTTTAAGAGAAGGTGGCCAAGCCTGGAAAACCAGCTTCTGGTCAGGGGTTATATATATAACATTTTTTGAGCCAAGCAGATTTTCTTGGTCTCCCATTGAGACCAGGGACCACAGTGAGAGAAAGGAAGCAGATTCACTTTGAACTCATGTCCATTCCATGAGAACAGAAATGCAGCCCCTTACCTTGGTACTCCTCGTTCCAGCCGGTTCTATTCCTTGGAAGAGAGTGGCAGAGATGATGCTGAAGAGGTAGGCTGAGGTTAGATTAGGAAGGACATTGTATGCCACATGAGAGGCATGACATTTATCCTGTTTTTTTTTTTTTTTCAGTATTTCTCCATTCTAACTGTACTTCAGATCGTTAAAATATTAAAATTCTCCACATTGAACCATTCAGTAATATATGTGTTTTATATATATTTATATATATATATGTGTATCTATTAAATTCATCAATAAACAGCAAAAGCTATTTAAATATTCTTTTTATCAGCAAACTACAATGTTAGCTCACATTGAGATTATTTTTAAAGCGAGCTACAGAATTGAGTTTAGGTATATAAACTGGAAATTGAATATAATTTGTATGATTATTATCAATGATCTCTACACACTCATTTTTCTATCCCTGTAGTTTAAAGAAAAGGTGACTGCAAATATGTTAGGCCAAATCTAATCAGGGTATCATTTCTCTTATGCGTTCATAGACACTTGTGGCCTAAAAGTTTTAGGAAATATGTATCCTTAGTAGTAAAAGTTATACAATTGTGACTCAGCTTACCACTGCTTACCAGTACCCATGTTGTTTTTTTCCTCAGCATCCCACCAGATTATATACAGTATTCCCCTTTATATGAAGGAGATATACTATAAGACCCCCAGTGGATGTCTGAAACCATGGTTAGTACTGAACCCTGTATATACTATGTTTTTTCCTATACATACATACCTATGATAAAGTTTATTTATAAATTAAGCACAATAAGAGATTAACAATAACTCATAATAAAATGGAACAATTATAACACTATCCCAGCATCACTACTCTCATGCTTTTTGCCATTGTTAAGTAAAATAAGAATTACCTGAATACGAACACTGCAATCCGTGACAGCTGATCTAATAACCAATATGGTTACTAAGTGACTAACGGATGGGTAGCACAGACAGTGTAGATGTGCTGGACAGGGGGATGATTGATATCCTGGATGGGATGGAGCAGGACCATACAAGATTTCATCACACTACTCAGAAAGATACACAATCTAAAACTCATGAATTATTTATTTCTGGAGTTTTCCATTTAATATTTTTGAACCACAGTTGACCGTGGTTAACTGAAAGTGAAACTGGGCATGGGGGGACTACTGCATTCCATTCGGGAGTGGTCATGTGACTCCCACTCAGTCATGTGACTGAGCTCTGGCCAATGGAACATGAGAGGAAGTGAATTGTGTCACTCCCATCTCGTGAAATCCTCTTATGTTCAACCCTTGGTCTTCCACTATCCTCTGGTTGAAAGGTGAGGTTCATGAAGATCTCTGTAAGAGCAGAGGCTTCAGATGGAAGGAGAACATGTCCCCAAGAGACCACCTCATAGAGCAGGTCCCCAACTTCTCTTCTAACCTGCATCAAACTGTGTTGTGAGCAAGTAGTAAAACTTTTTGTGTTAGGCCACTACAAATTTGGGGTTTTTTATTAATGCAGTTACCACACTCTGACTCATATGCTACAGACAAGCAGAAGAAAAACTCTGCAATTGAAAATGGAGATGCACTGAAGGTTTTGATACATGATCAGGTTTGAGAGGATAGACAATCTGAACCTAGAGGACATCAGATAGAGTTGATTAGTCTGGGACAAACGGAGCAGGAATGTGAGTCCAGAGAGTAGGTCTAGAACCTGGATTCAACCCAAGGGAAGCAGTTGGCATGAAAAAGCGTGCTGGGACCCATTCTCCAGGAAACTGGGGCTCAGTGGTAAGAATCCCATCCGGAGTCCAAGGCAGGAAGTTCAGTTACTGGGGGAGTAGGACATAAGGGAGGAAACTCAGCCAAAGTCAATCTTGAGAGAAATCTAATCTTTTTCTGGAACGTGCTAATATAATAAGGGTTCCAGACACAGGAGCCTGCATTGCCCTTTAAAGCTTCAATCACTGAGCAACACATACAGAAGTGGTGTTTTTTTTTTTTTGCAAGTCCTTACATTTAAAAAAGAATCAGAACCATTTTTGAAGTAGGAACAGGTAATGGAAAAAGCGTAGATGTTAATTTCTTCATTGCCGTGTTTTAAAAGCATTTTTTCGTGTGTTTTTTTAGGCCTTGAGCCCAATTGCAATTATTTATTCTCATGGCAGGAAAAGATATGAAAAGATGAAGGGAGTTTTCCTGCTTAGCTCTTTAGACGTGTAACTAAGTAAGATGGACAGAGATGCAGATGCACTTTCCTTTGGAAAATGCTGAAGACAGTGAATATCCCTTTGGTGTCACGTATTTTATCTTACTTTTTAAAAATTATTATTGTTCATCCACTCAAGTATTGAGCTCTGATCCTGTGCCCCCAAATCTGCCAGAAATCTAATGGAGGCACAAAGGAATTAGAAGAATGAAGCATTGCCCCCTACCATTAGAACATTCTTCAATTCATTTAGTAAAGTTTATTAATCCCCTCTTCTGGGTCACACTGTTTTGGCTCCGGGAAACAATGTTGAATAAGGAGTTCACAGTCTA